GTCTTACACTGCTAAATTAGTGACGGCTAGTGCAGATAGCCCTAGTATAGCTTTGCACGAAATTCAAAACAAACAAACAATGTTCTAAGTATATATACATTGACTGAGAAGATAGAATAAGAACCTCAATAAATTGCCTCAGTGCCTGAAAAAAAAAAGGAAGTAAATATTATGTAGCATTGAACTTAAACTTATAAAATCCAAAAAACCTACATGATGAACTTTTCAAAACATCTTGTAATTAGACCTACTGTTCAAGAATCTGAGACTAATTGAACACACAAGTGTTGCATCAAGCCTGTTCTAGTCTACAATGGAGCGAGAAAGAAAACTGCTTAAAATATGCATTTTTTATTTTATTGATTTTTAATTACGTTCTCATGTAAACAGTTTGAAGTAATTATACTAATTTTGATTAATGGTGTGAAATAATTATACTAATTTTGATTAATGGTGCAAAATAATTATACTAATTTTGATTAATGGTGTGAAATAATTATACTAATTTTGATTAATGGTGTGAAATAATTATACTAATTTTGATTAATGGTGTGAAATAATTATACTAATTTTGATTAATGGTGTGAAGCAGTAACAGAAATTGATACTTCAGTAGATATGCCAAAAATAACTGTCTGTATGTCTAGTTGATATTTATTTATCTTCTCATATGAGAACCAAAAATACTTTTTAAACAACTACTAAGTAGAACGTTTTAGATCTCTAAATAATATGGCGTTTTTTAAAGAAAATTTGGAAAATTGAATATATCAGATTAGGCTTTTCAAGTTAAAATGGTAAAAGAAATCCTTGTCTCTAAACCTAGAGACATAAAACACTTATATGAGTGCAGAATTGCTTGAAGTTTAGCAAAACAAACTGTGAAAAGAAGTTTCATATTGCTTGATTTATGTATAGAAATTAAAATATAAGTCTTTAGGTTAACATAACAATATTTAAATGTTTTTCTATTTTTATTTTATATTTTGTTTATTGTTACAGCAGTCATGTTTATTTCTAGTGAATGTACTTCGCAAAGAAAGATAACTCTTGACCAAGTTGTACCCCACATTTGCTTAACTTTCCTGATGGGTCAGCAGTAAGTTAATAAACTTACAATGCTAAAATCTAGAGTTTGATTCCCCACAGTGAACAGAGTGCAGATAGCCTAATGTGTTAACTTTGTACTAAAAAAAATACACCTTCATTAAGGGTTAAAATTCAGCTATGTATTTGAAACTTAAGGTGCATTCTACTCGTGACTTTTTGGAATGTTTAAATAGAATTATAAATAGTTTTTTCTGTGTCTAAGAACATTAGATAATGAGAGTATAATTTCAAGTAAGGTTGAAAATAGTGTATTCATGTAAGTTTTCTTGCACAGGAACCGTAGAATGTTTGGAATGATATTGGGAACTCTACAGAAATTTCAACGTGAAGAATCAAGTAGGAAAGAACAGGTAAGAAAACAGTTCTTTGCTCATGTTGTTTATGTGTGTGTGTGTAAATATAAAACAAAATTCAGTCAAGTTAGTGAGTGATTTAACCCATTAAATGTCCCAACTACCATTCACTGCCTACAGCCAGTTGTGTGTATGGTATCCATGGCTAAAAAAATTAAGATTTTAAAAGTAACATCATAATTAACATTTTTGTTATTAAGAACCACATTTAATTTCTACCATTGTTAGACACCCAACTTCCATCCTGATTTGATACCTAACGAATGAAAAAAAAATATATATATAAATTATTTAGTAAAAAGAGACTTCAACATAGAAAAATATAGAAATATAGTTGATTTTATATATTTAATTCCAAATGAAATTGTCAGTTTATGTAAAAGTAAAAGTCATTGTTGTAAACTTTTAATATAAGAAAGCTGAAAGATATGTGTGAATAGCTGTTTTTAATACAGTTTGGAACTAGTGATATATCTTCTAACTGTTTGTGTAGCTTTTGCTCAGGGGAAAAAGTGTTTCTTGTTTTGTTTGTTGTTGTTTTTTTTTAAGTAATGTGCTGATTATTACAAAGTTGGATGGAAATGTATGAGTAACCTTTACAGATGTTGCACATGTTTAATTGTACTTCCAGACACAAAAGCGAGAAGAGATAGAAAAAAAGTTAGAGGAAGCAGCTGTACAAGAAAAGGAAGAAGCCCTAAAAAGAAAAAAACAATTATTCCGTGAAAGGAGAAAAAAGCAAGCTGAAATCAGATGTCTTGACCAGAAAATGGAGCTAGCAAGGATAGTAAGTGTATTCACTAAACTTCTGTCACCCTTACAATAACCCCCCGCCCATCAGATATCTTGACCAGAAAATGGAGCTAGCAAGGATAGTAAGTGTATTCACTAAACTTCTGTCACCCTTACAATAAGAATGTGGCACAGCAGTATGTCTGCGGACTTACAATGCTAGAAACTGGGTTTCGATACCTGTGGTGGGCAGAGCACAGATAGCCCATTGTGTAGCTTTGTGCTTAATTCCAAACAAACCCCTACAATAAAACATTTTGATGAATAGCACAGGTCTGTTTCTCTTCATAAATTTTGGTATGTTTACAATTTCTTCAACTTGGATTGGATTTATGGTCCTGCATAATAACTGACTATGGACAGATAAAGATTCTAAAGTGGATTTGGTAGCTAGATTTAGAATTGAGAAAATAAGATAGAGAGCTTGAAGGGGAAAAAAAGGTCAAGTAAGTTAATCTTTGAACTGCTTATTTTCACATCAGTTTTGCTAGTATTTTTTCCCTGATTCCCATTATATTTTGGTCCCCACTGTCTCAAATTAAGCCTAAACTGCCACTAATTGTAAATTTTGGGGAGCTTGCCCTCAAATATCATAAAATTGATTTGCTTTCAATTTTGCCCTTCCTCCTACTTATATTTTGTTATTTTGCTTCTGACAACAGAAACATATCCACATTAGTTTAATAGTTAACTACTGCTCTGTTTATACTTTAAACAAATGATAAAAACAAAACTGTAAGAACTTCCAATGAAATTAATACTAAACACAAAATTTCCACCAGTCATGAAAATTCTGGAAAGTTCTCAAATTTTTTAAACATTCTTCAGTATCGGAGATTCTTGTCAAATATCCACTTAGGCCTATTTAGTTTTTCTTTAGAATTTTAGTTGTCAAGCTGACCTATCCTCTCTATTCCTATCGCATTAGTATTCTCCATGATTCACTTACAGTTGTGGCATGAGTTACCATAATCATTTGGTCTTTCTTCTGATGATCCTCTGTTCTTTTCATCAAAGTGCATTTGGGTTGATTTAATTACTTTAGAATCACGCTTTGACATAATAAAATTATTTTTCTTGTCTCCTTTTCTACTGTTAGTTTCACTCTAACATATTAAATCTTAGGCCTATCACTTCTACGGTACTTAACTTCACACCAACTTTATTCTCTTTCACTATTACCTGTCTGCTGTTTCCTGCTCATCTCTCACTATTTATATCTTTATCACTTGATCATCTGTTTGCCTTCTATATCCTCGATGTCAATATATTGCATGTGACATTCGATATTCTCAACATCAATGAAATATTAACAAAACTTCCTACATTGTGTGCTTCTAACTCTTATTATAACAAAAAGTAAACAGTAATAAAATATTCACTCACAAAAATAAATTAATCACTAATATCTAAACCAAACCGTCATTTATTTATACAATGATCAGTCCAGGCTCTGAGATGTTTTGAGTAACATTTTGGATTAAAATAAATAAATACTTCAGGCACAGTCTTCTGTTTTTAAAAGACAATCGAAACTGTAAATACAGTATTGTGATGTTGTTATTTTGTCTGTTTATATTCTTAGTAGTTTTTCTTTGAGATCTAAAATGAATAAAATTCTTTAAAACTGGTTCATAATTGTACTTCTAATCATCATACCATGTGATAACTTATAACCTTGACAACAGCCTTGACAAAAAATAAAATTATTCAGAGCAATTGTTGTTTTAAATCTCATTTAAATGTTAGATCTGTTAGCATATGAGAAAACATACAGATTGAACACCAGGGGTTAGACGTTTAACTGTTGAATTGTACATCACTCAAGTTTTTTTTCTACGGTACAATTTATAATTCCATAGCTTAATATCTTGATTCAATATGAAAGAAATATATATATATATATACTGTTTTTAACTTCAATAACACGTTTGTAGTAGAACCAAAACCTAAACGTGGATGCATTCATGTTGTTTCACTCGACTACTCATGCTATCTGATCCTCTCACTTTCAAACAAAAATCATAGTGGTGGCCAATCATGCAGATGAAACTACTACAAAATTGGCTATGAAAATTAAACTGGAAAATGTCCCAGTTGAAAGCAGTTTGGTTTTACTGTGAAACATTATGTTCACATTAATAGGATTGTTGATAAATCTGTTGCAGTTTGTTGAATATGCTACACTCATGTGCACTACACTGGTAGCTCAACAAACATGGCTACACATATTCATAAGAAAGATGAACATGAAATCTAAGATTGTTCTGTACCCAAAATATTAAAAATATTTATGAAAATAAAATGAAAAATAAGTCAAATTGAATTATACACTGCTTTTGAATCCAAATTTAGGATTAACTGTTCCAGAGTACAGCTAATGACAAAAATTATTGGAACTTTTATTGTAAAGGTCCTGAAGTCTTGTTCTGTTGTTGAAAATCCAGGCTTTATGAAGATGATCAATGTGCTGGGACCAAGGTGTGACATTCCATCTAGAATGTAATTCAATGAAACATTGACACCAGATCAAACGTACTGAAGGAATTAAATACAGCTTCACCAGTTGCTATAACTACTGATGGACTGACTTCAAGAACAGGAGAAAGTTACAGCAACAGCTCACTATATAAAAGATGACTAAAAAATGGCAAACCCTGTTCTATAGATACATTCTATGTATGAATCTCATACTGGAGTAAATGTTGGTCAAGTGTTTACCGATGATGTAAATGAATGGAACTTTGATCATTTTAATGGATGTGTAGCTGTGGTAACTGACAAGACAAGTAATATGACTGGAGCTGTGGAAGAATCTGGGCTTGGCCCACATGTGGGTTGTTCTGCCCATATATTGAACTTAACTATTCAGAGAGGACTTGAAGCGAACCAGATGTTTAGACTATTAGGCAAGGTATGTAAAATTGTTGCATATTTTCACAAGAGTACTACTGCTGTCTGTGTACTCAAATAAAAAAAAACTAATTGAAAGTTCATGAACATTGTCTTATAACGGATATCAGAACTAGATGGAATAGTAGTTATGATATGAGAGAAAGGTACTTTGAACAACAGACTGTTGTAATAGCTGCATTTATTTGACACCAGAAGTGAGAAAAAATGCAGAAGATTTGGTGTCTTACTTAGACCAACACGTTTGTAATATGTAGAAAATTGTGGTAATTTTGAAGCTAATGTAGCAAATCTCTAAATTACTGTGTGATGAACAGCATCCCACCATCTCACTTATCTACCCAATGATGTATTGATGTTTGCTGGTAATGCGAGTAAAGGACACAGATCCTTCACTTGTCAGAGATGTCATCTCAGAAGATATCAAGGATAAATATGAAAGAACTGATATCAAGAATTTCTTGCTTGAAGCAGCTATCCTAGATTCAAATTGTTACCACAAGTAGATGAAGAGAAGCACACCTTAAGAACCAGAAGGTGAACCTCAGCCTGCTCTTCCTAACCAAGCAGTATCTTATTCTAATAACAGTGCTACTACTGGTCCCACAACTGCAAATGACAATACTTAGAAGAGAAATGCAATGGAAGATGTATTTGGTGATGTGTCTGTTACAAAAATTGAAAGCCAAAGACTTTTCATATAATGTCAAAATGAAAAAGCTGCTAATTATTATTTTGTTGTTCCTGGAATAAGTGTAGCTAGTGAACATCTATTCTGCTTGGCTGGGAACATTATCACAGCCCAGAGGTCAGTTTTGACACTGATCTGTTGTTAAGTAATCAGTAGTACTGTAAACTGTTGCATATTGTTCAAGATGTTGAATGTTCAGACTTGTTCTTAGAATTTTTATACATAAAAAATTATTAAAAACTATCCTTTTGAAGATGTATATATAACTGTTGTTGTTTTGTTACAAAAATTAATGTTTTTCTTTAACTTATTAGGCTTGTTTATGAATAATAGTGTTTAATATTGGTATGAACATATCTAGGTACATTTGCTATCATGAGTCAACCGAATTGTTTCACCCTTACCGAAAACCATGTTGAAATACATAAGTATTATTAGTCCAGAGTGTTTCTAATTCTTTTAAAAGTTGTTAGTTTGGTGGACTTGCAGCAGTGTACTGAGGAAATGTTGGAAAAATAATGGATTGTGATTGTGTGGGAAAACACAAAAATATGAGAGTAGTTTCAGTAACAAGATGTGTGAATTTTTGTTGTGTTGGCTTAGTTGGTATGATGATGTGTTGTGATATATGTTCAGCAGTGTTTAATAAATATTACTTGGTTACATGCCAGAGGAGGTTTTAATTTTGACCAAAGCATAGCATTTAAGAGAAAGATGCAGTATCACTTGTTTTTAAACTGCAGTTTGGAAAGTTCATGTATACTTTGATTGTAAATGATGAATTCTCTAGTGTTTTGCTCAGTAATTTGTGATCATTTACAATTTCTTTTACTGGCTTGTTTTTTTGTTTGTTTGAATAAGTTTTTTTTAAATAGCTCAGGTGCAACTGTTGTTTCTAGAGCATTTTATTTGGTCCTAACTTCACTTAAGTATTTTAATCTTAGAGATAAATACAAAAATCATTGACTCTTGAATTAGTTTCTGTTGAGTACATTCAGCAAGAATTGTGTTCTGTTTTCCAGACAGAAAAGTTTCAATAACTCCACCCAGAAAACTAGACTTTACTAGGTTTTTCAGTCAGTTTTCCATATTTTCCTAAGGATTCTAAGTTCATAGTAGATTGAAGCTCCATTACATGTATTTTTGATGTAATTGTTAAAAAATCTAAATTTTAGCAAGTTTAATGACCAGTTGATCCTTTAGAAACTTGTTTATTGCTAGAACCAAATTGAAAAAGGCATTTTCATTTTAATGATAATGTAATGGGTTTAAAAATCTGAAATTATTCAGTAGTAACTTATAAAATGCACTTGCCCAAAGTGTTTTTTTTTCTCTTTTGTTTCTTAGAAACCACTTGGACATTCTGCTTTTAATGTGAAATGTTGAGAATAAATCTGTTTTTTAGCAAAAATTGTGTCAAATATGTGTCTTCAAGCATAACTGAAACACAAAAACACAACTCTATTTGTAATGAAATTTTACTTTTAATATATCTTAAATAAGAAAACTTGTATAATATTTAACAGAAAGCTGAAAAACCACTAAAATGATGTTAACAAGAACTGATAACATGTATCTTAGCCTTGATTGAAGTGCTTTCAAGTCACTTTTTTTTTCAATTATCTTCAATTTAAACAATCTCTTCCTGTATTATGCTCAATTCTCATGATTTTCCAAGTGTTCATATTAGGATTACTCACACTCTTAAAACATTTACCATTAAATGTGGCCACTTATTTTAAATAAATCACACTAAAGCGTGAACAGTACATGAATATTAAATCACTTTACCCTTCAGTATGAACTCATACAAAAAAAATTCCTATTTGTAAGCTATAAATTCCCAAATGGTCTTAAAGTGTGAGGTTAAATAGTAAGTTCTGTCAAACCAGCCACCAGATGGGGTGGTTCAGGTTTCATTACACACTTAGATTGAATAGGGTCTATGGTCTTGTTAAGCAATTTTTGTCTGTAAGTATGGTAATTTAAGATAAGCTTCTCATTATCAAATGCTCACTATAGGTACATTTTTAGAAGACAATACATTTAAGACTATCCTTATTATACTTGCGTATGATTGATGTTGGTGAATTGAAATCTGTCTTTTGTATAATTGATATAATTCTGAGTAGTCATGATAGTATTCGCTTCTTTTTTTTTCATGATAAAGATTTGTTTTTAATTTTCTCCTCAAAACCTTGCTACTTTTTTGAAGACTATTATGCTTCATTTTGCTAAATAAAAATTGCATAAATGTTGTAAAAAAATTATTTTGATGTTTGTTTTTCATGATTTACTTGTTTTAAAATTTAAAATGATTTTCTTTTCTTTCTAGCATGATGAATGGGAAAGTAGACAGAGGCTACTAATGAAGTTTATACAAACCAAGACCAGACCACACATCATGTACCTGCCAGCCAAAGCCTCACCTGAATCTGAGAAACGGCTCAGAGAGAGTCAGCAGAAGAGACAAGGTGAGTTTCACTTAAAGTTAATGTCAAGTTGAATTCTTAGGGATTTAGTGAAGTTTTTAGCATTAATCCTTTACCACCTGTATATTTACACATGCTAGACATCATCTCTTCCCATATATATATATATATATATATATACACACACACACTAGATGTCTCGCACGCCATTTAAGTGCCTCTTGCCTGATTATGTTGTGGTCAAAGTGTTCCTATGGGAATGGAAAAAAACCCTTCCATGGATGATAAGAGGTTAACTCCTTCACTATAATGTGAGTTTGAAGGGACAAAAGAGTATATACCCCATCCAAGTTTTAGCAGTTTTAAGTTTTAGATAAGTATGAAATATTGAAATATACCTTTTGTTTTGTTTTATGGCACTTAGAGAGTTGTTTATCTATAAATGTGCAGTGAGAGAGTTGATGCTTTTGCATTATGCATAAAGCATTGAATGTGTGTATCTGTATGTATTTGAATGTAGACTTTATAAAATATTAAAAAATTTATATTTCTTTTACAAAATGTTAATAGATTATTGTACTTAAAGTTTTAGAATGAGCTGGTAATTAAAGATATGAGTCTCAAGGTCAAGTAGAGAAACCTAGAAGCAGTAATTTAGAATTCACTTAATAAAACTTTCTACTAATTCTTTATGGGTTATAAAGTTTATGGCTAGTTGAGTACTTGCATGAAAAATGGATAAACTTGAATATTTTCAAAGTTTCACAGATAATTGACTATTCTCATACCCTTCTTCAAAGGGTATTTACTTCTAACATGCTGGAGCTGTGGTGATACCTCTGGGGAAGATATGGTTGAAATAAAGAGTTCAGCACCTATATTTCAGTGTGCTAAGTGATCGTTAATACAATGAGAAATATATACACACCTGCCCATTTTGTCCTGTAGCAAAAAAAAAGGTGTTTTTGTTGTTGTTTTTTATGATCTTGATTGAATTTTAATGTAAATTATTTAAGATGGTTATTGATAAAGTTTTAGACTAAGTATATCAATATCTAGCTTAAAAATATATTTATTTGTTTACAATATAATTGCATGTTTAATATTACCTTGAATATAGCCTTAACTTTAAACTGTAGTGATGACTTTCTAAATGCTAGTATAAGTAGCAAATTTGTTTGTTGTGGTGATTTTCAGCTCTGTTTTGAAAGTAGAAAGTAATCAAGTAATTGTAATATAACAAATTAAATTTAATGTATAGAACAAAACTTCTTGAAAACCATTTGAAAATATGTAAATGAGCATTTTTTTTCTCAATGACTTAATGAGTTTCTGCAATCATATTTTGGCAAGATATGAATACAAATTCAAACTAAAGAACTGGGTAGTTTTTGTAGGAAGAATTCAAATATGAGTTTGTCAACTTAAGAGACCAGATTTCAATAAATATATTTTATGTTATAAAGACGTGGGTTTTTGATCTGACGTGCAAGCACTTTTGTTTATCATGGTCAAATATATAAAACTTATTTTGTAATCAACAGAATAGGTACAGGATTAGATTGCATTCATAATTAGATAGTTTTATTAAATTACAGTAATTTTCTTGTCTTGCAAGGCTAACCAAATCAGCTAAACCTATGGTTAACCTTCTTAGAATATTTTAATTCACTGAGTAGTGAGTGTCATATCTTACTAGTAGTATCAATAAGAGCTTGGACATTAGGCCTATTGTTGGTGTAGTTGTTTCATTAAATTGCAGATATCTTAAATATGATTATTTAATTTCCAGCATTGTTCATGAGAAGCAACATTTGGGTGATGTTTTTTATTGCAGCTGTGGTTTCACCGTGTTTAAAGATTTTCAACATTTCTTTACAGAAGTAGTAACCATAAACAGTTGTCTAACTCTTTGTTATGTAATATATGAATAGAAATAATTGTGGCTCAGTCGGCTAAAATCCAGGAGGAGTTGCAGGAGATAGATGAGTTGTACCAAAGAGATGAAGAGCCTGAAGAGGAGCCTGAACAGCCAGAGACAGGCATAGATAAGGAGAATAAAGGGCCAGGAGATGGTGAGGGTGAGATGGTGGAGGAACAAGTGGAGATGAAAGCTGAAAAGTTAAATCATACAGAAGAGGAAACACCTCAGGTAACAGAAGGTAAGGAAGTAGGGGATGGAGATGTCAATGTTGGTATTGCAGTACTAGAAAATGTTGTTGTCCCATCCGAAACCGAAGGTGAAAAGGAGCAAGATAATAAAAATAGTCAACCAATTGAGTCTTTAGGTGATCAAGAATTTGAACCAATCTATGATGATGATTGAAATCTCGATTTTGTTTTTTATTTGTAAAAAAGAAGGAAAATTAAAAATTTTATTTCTGTATGCAAGGTATTGAAAGGACACAATTATTCTTTTGGGTAAAGATTAAGTTGTACAGAAACAAAATTGACTGTTTCAAATGATGTATGAAAATATACCATTTGAAACTTGTTCATTGTTATTTCTGTATAAATGTCCAACTTTTGTGTCCAAAACATTGTGTCATTCGTGATGAGACCTTTCATTTACATTGTCAGGAAAGAGGGACAGGGTCAGTGAAAGGAGACCTTTCATTTACGTTGTCAGGAAAGAGGGACAGGGTCAGTGAAAGGAGACCTTTCATTTACGTTGTCAGGAAAGAGGGACAGGGTCAGTGAAAGGAGACCTTTCATTTACGTTGTCAGGAAAGAGGGACAGGGTCAGTGAAAGGAGACCTTTCATTTACATTGTCAGG